ATAGCCTTATGCCTATCCCGCGCATGCTTAAACTCCTTTACTGTGCCAGATTACCTGTTATTTTGATCAAAAAAGATTATCTTTTTTTTTTTAATCAATAATGATTACCTAGGTTTTTTTTTTAGCAATAAAGATGACCTGGTTTAAAAAAAAAAAAAAATCAATAGTCATTATCTTTTTGTATCAATAAACTGACATGTGTTGTGTCGATAAAGATCCCCTGTTTTGGAAGTGAAAAGCCTAAAATCTATTTATCTTCCACAGAATGCTAGGTACCACGACTTATACTATTATATAGAGAATCAGTATCAGGGACTATATTTGTTTATCTATAAGGCTATTAAACCTTTTCCACATTACCAGATTGTGCGGTGCTGAGTAAACTATATATTCATTCTCTAGGCCAGGGATAGGCAACATTTGGCACTCCAGATGTTGTGGACTACATCCCCCATAATACTCTTACACCCATAATGCTGGCAAAGCATCATGGGAGGTGTAGTCTAAAACATCTGGAGTGCAGAAGGTTGCCTATAACTAATTTCTCTGGAGTAAAAAAGCCACCCGCCATAAAAAAAACCTCTGTGTATTATTCACTAAACAGTGCGTTGTGTTGACAACTAAATTGCAAAACTTGTTATATAGTATTTTGTCCTAAATCTTGATAATTACTATCATCACGTTACCACCTCCTATTTAGTAAATGGACCCCTAGATAAATAATATCTTTGCAGGTGGGCAGAGGAATAAAATCTGCACTGCTTTAATTATTTTTTAATAAGCTTTTTCTTTTTTCTTTTTAATGACTAAATAAATGATCTAATAAATGTTTGTGCCCCGCAGACAGTCATTAATTTCTCGACAATGTTCGGTACTTCGAGGGTGGGTGGAAATAATGATTGAGAAAGATTCTGCGATAATACCATTACCTATGTTTTGCACATTTATCGAGGGAGGATCATATTAGCATTTTGCTCTGTTGCTCAATATTGCATTTTATTTATTTTGCAGAATAATTTGTCCGAGATGAATTTCTGCTCCTCTTGTAGAAGAAATTGGGAGAGTGATTAATGGACGTTGCAGGAAGCACTCCGTTGTGTCTCCGCTTGGCGGGGCAGGCATTTTACATACCTGACAAAATCTATTTTAATAGCCATTCCCTCGGTGCTCGGAAAGTATTACAGAGGCAGATCAAGAGAATGCTGAGAGTCACGATGACAACATCCTCATATCGAGATGATTCGGAGGTGATCAGGCAAAGCCTTACTGAACTCATCTAAGCAAGACTAATGCTTGTGCGTTCGATTTGACTTCTAAAAACAAGAGCTGGAACGACTTTTCAAACCAAACTCAGGAAAAATCCACGTGGTTTCTTACACATCTGTCCACTAATTCTCTTTTTCTTGAAACCCAGGAATTAATTATACGAAAATATTTACAGAGTTAATCAGCGAGATGAGGGATTGATATATATATATATGTATTCCTAATATTCCTGAAGGAATTACATCCGATGGATCATTAAGGTGCATCAGCTTTCGACACTCTTGATTAACTCTTCAAGAACCAGTTAAACGTAGCTGTCATCACAATATGGCCCTTAAAGACTTTGTGCCACTATGGGATGTCTTGCGTATTTGGCTTGTTTGTAGGATCCATGTAAGCCAGAGTCATTAAAAGAACACTGTAGGGTCAGAAACACAAACATATATTCCTGACCCTATAGTGCCAAACCCACCATTTAGGTGGTTTACCCCCCCCATTTCCTCCTTTAAAAGCATGAAAAACTCAGCTGGTGCTAGCTCCACCCCCTTGGTGACATCATCAGAATTGACGGATTTTAGCCAATTTTTAGCCAGTCGAATTGGCTAACTGGCTGAAATCGGCACGTGGGCGAGACCAAACACTGTTTTGGTCAATCAGCACCTCCTGATAGAGATGCATTGAAAATTCAGCATCTACATGCAGAGTGTGGGGACACTGAACAGCATGGCTGCCTCATGTGCAGCCCTGAGCCAGGAAGCCCCTCCAGTGGCCATCTAAAGAGTGGCCACTTGGAGGTGTCCCCAGGGGCAATGTAAATACTGCATTTTCTCTGTAATGTTACTCTGAAGAGGCAGTGATTGCATGAAAATGCCTGCAGGAAATGATTATACTCACCGGAACAACTACATTAAGCTGTCATTGTTCTGGTGACTATAGTGTCCCTTTTATGAAGTGGGTCATTTCTTTCTAAAATAAGATGTTTATAGATCAGATTGGACCTTTTTGGGTTACAGCACAGTGAAATCATATCTGAAGCACAGTGAGAGGATGTAGGTATTAATCTTGTAAGAGGCTCAGCCAAGTGTCAGGGGGAGAGGGGAGGGGAGAGGCTGAAAGATATGTAAAGGTTAATTAGGGTGCCACAGTCAGTACCAGCAGAAGAAAGGCGATGAAGAGGACAAAACAAATTGTTGTTTTTTGATATTTGGGACCCACTAGCCGATACCACACTACCCTGTATACAGTCACAGCTGAGACCGGGCCCATCACACCAGGGGGCCTGGCTGCCCTGTGGACCCCTGCGACTGGGTGCCCACCAGCCATGTGTTGCAGCCCCGGCCCGTGCGGTGGGGGGCCATACATTAAGGTGCCCATGGGGTAGCCCATGCTGTTAGGGCCACCCGATTGAAATTAATTTCCAGGGGACCCAGTCAGCACTGCGGCACCCCGGTCACTTCCTCCCAGCAATCCCCAGGAGCCACGCTGGAGGAAGGAGAGGAGGGAGTCTGAGTGTGATCCCTGACTCCTATTAGCCTGAGCCACTGGACCCCAGGGAAAGTCATGTGATATTTTGCATGTTTGTGTATGTATGTATGTGTGAGTGTCTGTATGTATGTGTCTCTGTGTGTATGTGTGTGTGTGTTTGTATGTCTGTATGTATGTCTCTGTGTGTGTGTGTGTCTGTATGTATGTGTCTCTGTGTGTGTATATGTGTGTTTGTATGTATGTATGTATGTATGTGTGTTTGTGTGTCTGTATGTATGTGTATGTGTGTTTGTATGTATGTGTGTGTCTGCAACTGTGTGTGTAAGTGTGTGTCTACATGTATGTGTGCCTGTATGTGTGTGTCTGTGACTGTGTGTGTATGTGTATGTGTGTGTCTACATGTAAGTGTGCCTGTATGTGTGTGTGTCTTTGTGTGTCTGCATGTGTATCTGTTTGTCTGCATGTGTGGGGGCGGGGACTTGTGAGGGGGCGGGGACTTGTGAGGGGCTGGGGACCTATGGGTGGGGGGTAGATGTATGGGAGGGCAGGTAAGGGGGGGGAGGGGATGTATGAGGTGGGGGATTGATGTATGGGATGATGTGTGGGATGGCCCCGGTGCAATTTTCGTGGTTTCTAGTTACGCCTCTGCTTGTATAGTTTGCTTAGAACATTCTCAAATACCCTTCTTAGTTAAACTGATTTTAGAATTACTGTGTAGTTGATATATAAACGGGGAGATTTTAATTAAAAATACTAATTAAAATTCCCATATCAAGTAAAATATTAGCATTTGGTCACATCATATGGCCATAGTGTGTCAGGCTCATCACTAAGTCAGAATACCCCAATATTAGGATACATTCCAATGGGGCTCCTGTGTATTCAGGGCTTGGGTTCCAAAAAACACAGTACGTACAGGTAATGAGAGCAAAACCCCATATCTTTACTTGAGATAGGAGCCCTGAGAGTTCTGAATACAAGATACTATATCTTATTATATGTTGATTGCTATATTTTGGATAAAATTAGCTCAATTTAGCAGCACCGTTATTAATAAAATGTGCTCTAGTTGTGCCCCAATAATCCACATATATATTGATCAGCCACAACATTAAAACCCCTGACAGGTGATGTGAATAACATTGATTATATTGTTACAATGGCACCTATCAAGGGGTGGGTTATATTGGGCAGTGGGCACCAAGTGAACTGTCAGTTCTTGAACTTCATGTGTTGGAAGCAGGAAAAATGGGCAAAGAAAAGATCTGAGTGACTTTGACAAGAGCTAAATAGTGATGGATAGACAACTGTATTAGAATACTGTAAACTGTATTATCTCCAAGCGGCAAGTCTTGTGGGATGTTCCCAGTCTGCAATAGTTGGTACCTACCAAAAGTGGAACAAGAAAGGACAACCGGTGAACCGGCACCAGCGTCGTGGGCTCACCCATACCCACTAACAGCAGTGTCCAGTAAAGCAGGAAGTCTATGGACGGGGCAAAAGGGTGGGCCACTGACACAAATCACATAACCAGAACTGCCGAAAGGGGCGAACATACACAAAAAGGGGGCATGCCTGTGTCCCCATGTCTCCCAGTCCCTTAGTGTCTGTGTCCCCATGTCTCCCAGTGTCCCTATGTCACTAGGACACTAGGGGACATTGAGAGACATTGGGACACTGAAAGACCTGGGGACACTGAAACTCTTGGGGAAACTGGGAGACATGGGGACATTGGGTAACTTTGAGACATGAGAGGACACTGGGAGACATGGGGCACTGAGACACTGTGATACATAGGGGACACTGATATATAGGGGACACTGAAGACTTGATAAAGACCTGGGTACAGGTCAAAATGTTGCAGTGTCCAATAAACCTGCTTAAATCTATCACAGTGAGTGCCTGAGAATTTTTTCTTTTATACTAGGGGACACTGAGACACTTGGGGGTGCTGTGAGACATGGGGACACTGGGAGACTAGGGGACACTGAGACACTAAGGACACTGAAACACACCAGGGATACTGGGAGACATGGGGCATTGAGACACTCTGATACACAGGGGACACTGTGATACATAAGGCACACTGGAGACTTGATAAAGACCTGGTTACAGGTTGAAATGTTGCGGTGTCCAATAAATCTGCTTAAATCTATCACAGCGTAATAATAACTACCTATTTCCAGAGCTAAAAGACTCTGAATGTCGGTGTTAGCTGGAAAGGAACACAAGATGAGGAAATGTATGCTCTTTGATAGAACGCTGCACACCACTTATATTAATGGTCAGATAGCAAATCCAAAGCCAACTGGCTATACCTCTACCTACTCAGAAAAATAGATGATATATGCAGAAATAGATAAAGAATATAAAAACGTCCAATTGTCCTAATCTCTGACTTTATTGAGTGAGGTCTCTATCAGGAGTTGGATTTTCTTATATCACACTGAGTAGGTGTCTAGGATACAGGGAGCAGATGGCTGATGTCATTGATTCTACAATATCATAATATAGAACTAGTAGAAGGTTGTTTGTAATTACAAATTGTTGCAATCTCTCTTCTCCTAATTTTGGTTAATGCAATTCAATATAGGAGACAGTTTGAGTGAAGAAACTGTCAGGTTAGGGCTTCTGTATTATCACAGTGTTGCAATATTGTTGCAAAACGGAGAGAGCATAAAGAGGATACTAATTAGGTACAGTTGCTTTAACCCTCAGTTGTATGGGGTTGGTAACTTGTTTCAGATTGCTGCCCCTATCTACTGCTCTTATCTAATGCCTGTCTTGAATAAACTTGAAGAATTAAAAAATAAGTGAAAAATCTCTCTGTGAACTAGAAATGATTGAGTAATTATTAACTCATTAGGTATTCACAGGCAGAATAGAGACAGGAATAGAAATATAACAGCTTCTCTCTGATTGCTCACTAGACTTAAATCTATCACAGTGAGTGCCTGAGATTTTTTTTATACTAGGTGACACTAGGAGACATGGGGATACTAGGGGACATTGGGACACTGGGACACTGGGAGACTAGGGGACTTTGGCAGACTAGGAAACACTGAGACACTGCGGACACTGAGAGACACTAGGGACATGGCGACAAGGGGATACTGAGATACTAGGGACACTGGCTGGAAGACATGGGGACACTGGGAGTGCCCCATGTCTCCCAGGTCTCAAAGTCGCCCAGTGTCCTCATGTCTCTCAGTGCCCCCTAGTGTCTCAGTGTCCCCATGTTGCCCAGTGTCCCCTAGTATTTGTATCCCCATGTCTCCCAGTGTCCCTTAGAGTCTGTGTCCCTATGTCTCCCAGTGTCCCGATGTCACTAGAACACTAGGGGACACTTAGAGACATTGGGACAATGGGAGACATGGGGACACTGAGACACTGGGAGGGACATGAGGACATGGAGAGACATGGGGACACTGAGAGACATGGGACACTGAGAGACTAGGGACACAGAGACACCAGGGACACATGGGGACACAGAGACATGGGGACACTGAGAGACATCAGGGACACTGGGAGACATGGGGACACTGGCTGGGAGACATGGGGACACTGAGAGACTAGGGGCCACTGGGAGACATGGGGCCACTGTGTCCCTAGTGTCTCAGGGTCCCCATGTTCCCCAGTGTCCCTATGTCACGTTTTCATTTAGATTAAGTGGATGGTCGAGTGTGCAGGCCGGGAAAGGCAGTGTTATGCTCTGGGTAAATTCTGCTGGGAAACCATGGCTCAGTGTATATATTACATTATATTTATTAGAGTAGCCAAGTAAACCGGAGCTGTGAGGGCCTTGTCACATCCTTCATCCCACACAAAGTCACAAAATCACTCTATAAGAGCCCACCTTTCACAACAATGTTTTATTAAATACAAAAGAGGAGAAAATATTCAAACATTTAAGAAGTCATTTTAAAAACATTAAAAAACAGAAAACATTAAAAACAGAAACTCCACGTGGTTTCAATCCATGATTACAACAGATTATCCAATAAGATTATTTACATTAAAATCCACTTTGATCTTTCCTTACGGGGGAGGAGAGGGATAGCCAAGAAATTCACGCTAACTATAGATTATGTGTTTCTTTTCTCAAACATTCGTGTACATTGACGAAGACCTATGAAAGTGGAGTAAAGTTGTCAAGAAGGAACATTCTAATGGTTTCTATGGCAATTGCTCGTCTGAGAATTTTGCTCAATATTTCTATTAGTAATAGTATTATAAATCTCGGCCATAGGATACTGATTGATTCAAGTGATAGGACAGTCTGTGCTGTGCAGTATACATTGTATAACAGGTTGTCTGGCTCTGTAGATAAAGATTGCTGGCTCGCGCATGTCTCAGTGAGCATGACCATTTATACACTGGCAGATGTGAAACTCAGGAAGGAACAGACACCTTCTTACAACCTCTGTTCTCCTGCGGAGCTTATGTCAATTTCTTGACATTAACTCATTAATGACCAATACATTTAAAGCAGTGGCAACAATCTGGCTCTGATCCCTATCTGCTACTTAAAGCAGATGTGTCACAACTCAGTTTTCTTATTTATTTATTACTGGTACTGATAAAGCGTCAACTTATTCTACAGCGCTGTACAATTAGGGGAGAACGTACAATATACACAGACAAATACAAAAGGTAGAGAGGGCCCTGCTCGTAAACTGAGATCTAGCCATTGAACCTCTTTTGTACAAAGTGGTTAGCTAGATAGCCCGTGAGCTTACAATCTAAAGCAATGGTTACCAACCCAGTCATCAAGTACCCCCTACCAGTCCAGGATTTAGGGATTACCCAGTTGGGTCTAAAGTGTTTTTTTATTCTTCTTCTAAAAACTCTTTAGACACAATTTGGTAATCCCTAAATCCTGGACTGTTGGGAAGCACTGATCTAAAGGATACAGAGGGGATTTGAGACAAGAGGTAGCGGGAGCAATTTGGAAGTGATGGCTAAAAGAAGTTAAGAGAGAGTTGTAGCATTTGGTAAAATATAAAGGGAATTAAGAGTTGATTGAAGGAGACTATCAAACAACTGGAGGAGCATGTATTTTTCACACAGAATGTTTATTAAAAAAAGCTAAATATATATATATATGATAAAATGGGACTACTTTGCCTTGTACATGTACATGTGAAAAAAGAAGGCAAAATGCAAGATTTACAGGATCACTCCAGACACAAAGCATTACATCTTGCTAAAGTGTGTGGAGGTTGTCGTATTTGTGACCGTTTATAATAATGCCGATTTCAATAGAATAGAAATCAATAGAAATTGGTGCTTTTATAACCGGAGGCAGAATCACCTCAGAGATGGCAGAACATTTTATTTTACAAACAGGGAATTGCATTTCTATTTAGAGGAAAATGACTGATTTTGAAATGGAAAAAAAGAAATAACGTTGTAATAATTTATAAAAAAAAAACAACAAAAAGCATAATTTACTGTTTAATCAATATATCCCTAAATGCTCCCCCAACCCTCAACAGAAGCAACTTACTGTCAATTATTTTCATATTTATAGTCTCCAATATTGTATAGAATTCTGCATTGGGTAATTAGATTATAGCCAGTTTAAACTCGATGCTTAGTTATATTGTAATGAGTGTAACATGGTCAGACTCCAGCCCTGCTCTCTGTAGTGATATTTTCCCTTATAATTAGGCCCGGGCAATCTGTATGTGTAATATAATTAGAATATTTAGGCAATGAAGAATCAGACAGACACAAAAGCAGACCTTCAAATATTGCTACATGTATTTAGATGCTTATTCAATAAACAGTAAATCATGGTTATTTAATAATCCACTTACAAAACATGGAATAAAACGTTAGCCTGTAACAAACCTGCGACTGGCTTATTTTTCCAGTTTAGCTACCGTGAACTAAATGACACGAGATGTGAATAAACTCAGGGCACCCCTATAGGTTTAGATGTATGAACGTGTGCACGGGTTTTGCATCCAGAAATGAGAGGGGATTGTGTAGACATCTTACGCAATTTTGAGTGCTACATATAACAGCCTGTCATTTATTTGGGAGTAGTGTATTGTATCCAAACTGTGCCAAGACGTACCTCTGGAGAAACATCTGAGTCATCTTATCTGACTCACAATCCAAATTTAGCCACCTGCGACATTTAAACAACATATAATAAGCCCTTCATTTCACTCAGGGATCATGGAAAATGACACATCAAAATTTAGGGGATGTCAGTGACCAAGGTCTTTCTGGTACATTTATGTCTCAAGGGATTGAATGTACCCTGGGAACGAAGAAATCAGAACAATTTCAGATAAACTACATTTATATATTGTACTTCAAATCCTACGTTTAGTTAACAAAACATAAAATAGCACAAAGATTGCGTACATATACCGATTAAATGAAGATTAAAGAAAAAAAAGAAAATAAATATTAAGTTATAATTAATAAGAGCTCATAAAATAATTTAAGCAGGTACAACATAGTTAGTATTTTCTTTTTGCTACAAATGTAAAGATAATGTATATCGTCTATTTATTTCTGTACCCCACCTGAATTTTACTTTGAAGTGACTTTATGAAACTATGAGGTATATTTACTAAACACCAAATTGTGGTAAGTTGTAAACTAAATTTAAAAAAATTAAAGGGACACTCTACTGCCCAGGTTAAAACTCATACAATGACTGTTTAGTAAATATGCCAATGGAAACATGCATGCATTTAAATATGTATTTTTGCTCCAAAAGGTACATCTAAAAACTGCTTGTAAAAGCTGCAGATCTCTTGTCTTCCAAGCCCTCCCCTTCTAACTCCGCCCAAACTTTCAGTGGCTGTCCAATCACAGACTTCCCAATACAGCTCAGTGAGTCTTTGCAAGGCTGGAGTTCCACTTAGCTAAACAAACCAGGAAGTAACATGACTGGATGTCAGGGTGTGTTTAATTTATAAAAGTGCAGATTCTATTGAAATTCTTTGTAAAATGAAAAAAAAAAAAGGACACCGAAGTTTTTAAGGTCCTAGAGTGCCCATTTAAGCTAAAATAACCAACCATTTTAGTACACTGTGAATGGTGTACAACACGTATTTGTTGTTTAGTGAAAAGACCCCTTTGTTTAGTTGACCATCAGATCCTCATACTGATCACAGCTGCGCATTGTAACTGCCGGCTCCACCTACACAATGTTACCAAGATTTTAAGAATGCAATATGTACAATTTGAAAGCTGCTCCAGATTGAACATTAAAATACAGCAATAGGGTGTCGGTTGCTAGGTCCACTATAAATGGCATTCAAGTTTGACATCTTATTTAATTTAACCCCTGGATGACAGATGGCTTCCGAGCACAGTCATGCTATAAAGCGATTGGAACGCGCTGTTTTCAGGAATGGATTATTTATCATATTTCACAGAAGACTATTTGTCTGTGAAGCCATGTGACAGTATCATCAATAGGTAAGTCTGCAGAAGATCTACTGACTGAAACGTTGGTTGTTTGTGATCGGAACTAGGGGTAAGGAAACATTCCATAAGAAACTGTATTCCAGCACATGCATACTGTGTTGCTGGACATTTGTGGATTTGACAGTCAGTGGCCTAATGCTGAAAATATATAGATCTGAGTTGGCAGAGCACTCTGGGAAGTGTAGTTCAACAAGAGCAGAGTGGCCAAAGTTGGTCACGCTGGACCCATATATTTTATATCATTACATAATACTCGTTAGGTAACAGAGTCATTTAAAGATATCAAGACACACTTAGTAAAACTCATTGCTTCTATTTTTTAATGTTCAATGTTGTGAAAACATTCCCGTGTAACCCCAGATGGGGAGTTGGTCCAATGTTAATCGAGTTACTGCTTTGGTTCACCACCAGAACCTTGTTAGTTTTAGGGTCGATGCAAGTTCTTAGACACGTGCCTACTGCTTTGTCTCGCTCTATGTCCCCTTCTTCCGAGTCTCGTCTCAGAAGCTTAACTCAGGAGCAGCTCACTGCAACCGACTTTATTTATCTCAAATATTCAGTTTTGCTGCACTTGGTAACTATTTGTGGGAGTTCTTGAATTCCTGATCCTCAGAGAACTTAGATAGGCAGATTATAGGTAGAACAGGATGGGACATTTTTAACCACCTCCAGTTATCTGGTGAGGGACTCATCATAAAAGTATTAGTGGAGTCGAATATAATTTGTTGGCCATCAATCCCAACCACTCTAACTTTTCTTCCAGATGATCAGTTCTCAGTGTGACAGAATGATGTTTTAGAAAAAATGTATGCAAAAGTATTGGAAATCTCTTACGTTGATCTCTAGAATTTGTTTCGATGTTTATTTATATTTTTATTGTTGTATATTTCAACCAGCACAGAATGTGGAGGTATCCATTTGGGTTCCAAAGAGATTATGAAGAGGTCCTCAGACCGAAACACTTATTTGCGAATATCTTGAGATTTATTAGCAATTCAGATGACCGGATTGTCAAAGTCTTGGACAGCGAATGGTCCACAGTGGCAGATAGGATCGTGGAATCAAGCTATGACCTGTATTCCATGCAGGAGAATGATTGATACAGAGAGAGTGCTTCCACGTCTCATAGAAGAAGTAACATGAATAAATTTATTGGTTGGTGCATCATATTTTTAACAAGAAGTACTCTGTGATCATTTTTCATATTTAGGAAGATGTCAAAGATTGCGATTGTTTTGCTGTCGGCAGTTACTAAAATAGTCAAGGACTTGTGTAATTATCCAGTATATGACAAAAGTAGAATGAAATCAGGTGAAAGGGTCAATCTTTAATCCCTCCATCAAACTGACTGAAAAGGAAATAACTGACATAAAAATCTATATTTCAATATTGTGAGATGTTGAATAAATTGCAGAAGGCAGGTTTGAGATTTGATCTTATTTCAGAAATGGGAGCCCCAGAAAAAAAATCATCTCAAGCCCAATGGTCTATGCATCACTGGATGTGTGCGATCTATAGGTGTCTGTGCTTTATTCTTTATATAAATCAACTTCCCACAGGAATTTGAAGCTGTGGATACAGTAATTAAGAGTCCCAGAAGCCCTTTGAAGCATTACAATTGCTGTGGAATTCCTTGATCCTTGTATCCTGCAATGATATAAAAATGGAGATTATGGACAGTAAAGTAAATCGCAGTTAGTTTCAGAGCTGCTCTATGTTTTGAGATGTTCATTTTTAGCACAAGGATTTAATAATAAACACAATAAATAATAATAATAATAATTTGATCGTGTTTATTTTTAAAGATGTATTTACTATGACTTGGAGAGAATTTTCCGGGAAATTGTAAATTTAGTTCAAAATCAAAATAGTAAGTTTGGAAAAACTCTCCAAGTTAGTTATGTTTTCAGCACAGCTATTTGAGCTCAAATTTGCAATTTCCCGGTGAATTCCAGAAATACTTTACTCATATCAGTCTGTCTGTTGCAGAGCAGCCATGTGTGATATCATTCAGAAAAATATTATGTAATAAGTCATAATTAATCATTTTAAAATACAGACTTCCACTATAAAATTTACAATTGTCTAAAATATAAGAGGAACATTAAATATTTAGATTTTAAACATAATATCTACTGATCCATATCAAACATTGATCACAAGATACACATATATTCACGAGAGAACGAGCTGTCAAACATTCATATAATCTTGGCTAGTTCAGGACATGCTTGCTTGAGCAGGCGTTACCCACCTTGTGAGACTTTGTTGTAAGGTAATCAATATGAAACACGCAAGAGAGGAGGGGAAAAAAGACAAAAAACAAATTAAGAATGAACACATGGTTACAATATACTAATATACAATGTATCTTGTTGGTTAGATATCAACATAATAAATTGTTACATTTTCAAAAGACAGAGAAAATCTGCATACCGCAGGGCATGATGGTTAAATGATTCTATCTGAAGAGTCGCTCTGTTAACCCAGGCCAATGCAATTTGTAGATTAGGTTAATTATGGGTGTTTTTTTCAATACTCTTCTATAGGTTTTTTTTTTTAATGATAATTTATTTTGCTCCATAAGGCAACCCTTTCTGTCCAAAGATACAGTGATTTCATTTTGTACTCCCAAAATACTGCTATACGTGATGTTATGAATTTGATTGACAGCTGATAACTGAACTACAGCTCCCAGAAACCTTTGCTGTGCCCATACTAAGGAACATAACATACATTTCTAAATCTCAGATTCAGTTCCACCATATGGCCATATTGTGTTAAGCCCACCACTACTTCACAGAATCCCAATATTAGTGGGTCCTATACTAATTGCAATGTGGGAGACAAATCAATAGCGCTAAATAATCTGAAGTGTATTCAAATAATCTGTTTGTAAGAGCGCTGTGAATATATATAATGCAAAATTAATGTGATAAACGCAATTCAAAATAATTTAGTGTCCAAACTAAACAATTAAAGTGATAGGGTTTTTATTTAAAAGCACTGTTATTTTAATTGCTTAGTTTTGACACTGGATTTTAAGTAGCCGTATAGAATTTAGAAATTGATTTTATGAGTGCATTCATGTCCCTTTTGTTCATACTTCTTTTAGGAACTGTAATTTAGAACAAGAGCAATGTATCTTATTTACAGACAGATTTCTAAACACATGTATTGCAGTTTAACCCCTTAAGGACCAAACTTCTGGAATAAAAGGGAATCATGACATGTCAAACATGTCATGTGTCCTTAAGGGGTTAAAGACACATAGCTGGGAGTATTATTGCTGTGGAGCTCTGTTATACACTCAGACACATTACTGGGAGTATTATTACTGTGGAGCTCTGTTATACACTCAGACACATTACTGGGAGTATTATTGCTGTGTTGCTCTGTTATACACTCAGACACATTACTGGGAGTATTATTGCTGTGGAGCCCTGTTATACACTCAGACACATTACTGGGAGTATTATTGCTGTGGGGCTCTGTTATACACTCAGACACATTACTGGGAGTATTATTGCTGTGGAGCTCTGTGATACACTCAGACACATTACTGGGAGTATTATTGCTGAGGAGCTCTGTTATACACTCAGACACATTACTGGGAGCATTATTGCTGTGGAGCTCTGTTATACACTCAGACACATGACTGGGAGTATTATTGCTGTGAACATATGTAACCTGCTACTGACATGCTGTCAGCCATTTTGCTGTTTATTCATCATCTTAAAATATAATCAAAGAAGAATATTTACTCTAAGAAATAAGAAGAAACTATGTTTTATTGCTACAATTTATTAATGGATGTCTGGACTGTTTTTTGGATTGCAAAAGGAAAGGTTATTTTGAAAGTGTGTCTTGTCAGATGTTGCCAGGGGGGGAAAGGTGAAATGTGTGCTTAAGTTGTGAAAGAGGAAGTCTTATATGTGTTAACTTTTATCATAGACAAGCGATATTTTAGGGAAGTAAGATGCATGACTGTGGTCAAGTTATCTGTTAGAAAGATCATGGGATGCTTAAACTTTTGAACCTTAAATTTGTCAGTTATGCTAGAATTTAGCCAATAGGAAATAAGACCATATTTGGAGTTCTGATTCAAGCTAAACGAAAGGCCAGTTCCGGGTCATATGTATAAAATATGAGGAATTGTAACATGATGTTAGATTGCTTCTTGCCAATCTCCATGAGATATCTCTGTGTATTGTAATGGTCAATTAAAACGCTTTTTATTGAACCTGGTAATATTTTTGTCTACTTCCACAGTTGGGGGCTCTTTGTCCGGGATCAGAATACCACAGACACCAGCGGAACACCTGCACCTGCCAACCATTTCGTGGGCACTCAAACAGACCGGTCATATGAAAGGTAAGCCATACCATTTATAAAACATGGCATTAGTGTAATTTTTGAGTGTCCATGAAACAAAGAACGGTGCAGGTAAATGCTAGTCTGTGTGACCTGATTTCTTAGCCTTTTATTGACCATTTGTAACGTTACTATTTATGTTTGTTGTAAAATATACTGCAGTATTAGTGTCTATGTCTGAGTGATTCTAGAATCAGTGGTAGCACTGACAGGTAGTCCCCTAGGAAGACTTAAGTGACTAAACTTCGCAGACCCAATAGGGGTTTGGTGGGCCTTCAGAAGTCTAAACGTAGCTCTGTTGGTGAGAGTCTCTTTGATATGATGTATCCCTGTCATGTGATTGTGGCTAAATGTTGAGGTTAGCCACATGAATCTAATCTCCCAAGTCTAAACGTAGCAAAGCGAGATTAGATTATTTTGTTTTAGTGTCTTAATTTCACCCAGTCTAAACGTAGCAAGGTGAAGTTAAGTTGTCTTGTATTAATTGGCTAGCCACATGAATCTAATCTCCCAAGTCTAAACGTAGCAAAGCGAGATTAGATTATTTTGTTTTAGTGTCTTAATTTCACCCAGTCTAAACGTAGCAAGGTGAAATTAAGTTGTCTTGTATTAATTGGCTAGCCACATGAATCTAATCTCCCAAGTCTAAACGTAGCAAAGCGAGATTAGATTATTTTGTTTTAGTGTCTTAATTTCACCCAGTCTAAACGTAGCAAGGTGAAATTAAGTTGTCTTGTATTAATTGGCTAGCCACATGAATCTAATCTCCCAAGTCTAAACGTAGCAAAGCGAGATTAGATTATTTTGTTTTAGTGTCTTAATTTCACCCAGTCTAAACGTAGCAAGGTGAAGTTAAGTTGTCTTGTATTAACTGTTTAAACTCATAGGTTAAACGTAGCACTTGAGTAAGATGTATTGTGTTAAAATTGCATAACTGTGTGTATATGGTTTAAAGTTTGATAAACTGTGACATCATTTGAGAAGAGATTTTTGTGTAAACTCCAGTTGTCAGTCAGTATACAGACTGAAAATTGTGACCTTTCGATCTCTCAAAAGGTGATACAGTGAGTGTATACATTTGGTGTTTCAAAGTACAAGTAACAGAAATGAGGTTGAATCATGGCAAGCAGCTTGATCATGGAGATAGTATACCCAGTGATTCCCCAGTTTATTTAATGAAACAGAAATATGGCCCTTCAAATATTATGTATTCAAAGAAATGGGCAAAGTTAACTAAGAATAATATAAATCCATGGCCAGTGGTGGGGTCATTAGACCCTTGGGTGTTGTTAAGTTTAAGAACAATGTTGTTAAATGGAAAAAGTCTTTCAAAACTGGAATGGTCTGCATATATGTTATGGCATGAGGAAATTGAAAAGAAAAAGCAAGAATGTTCCCCCCAGTCAGGTGCAACAGGAGGGGCACGTAAAGGAGAGGGTACTGGTGTTGCCTGTTTGTATCCCTCACTGTACAATTTAAAAAGAAATGTTAAAAATCCTCCGCCTTATAATGATGATGAGGATTTTTTGATTAATCATGAGATTATGAATCCCTCTTTGGGTCACCTCCCCTCAGCGGATGAATGATGCACCACAGCTTGTACCCCAAAATTTAGCTGGTGCCTCAGCCATGTTGCATTGAGGTGGTAGACCTGAGAGGGATATTAGACTGCCTAAAAGATTTGCTGATCATGCTGTGGTTACTATCAGGTTTATCAGGATGTAGCAATGTGTTGCCTGAGAGTGATGGGAGTGAGGCTATGATTTTACCTATTAGAGAAGTGGGACAGATGGCTAATGATGGGAGACCACGGAGGATTTGTCAACCGTGGAGCCCACAAGACATAGCATTTTTATAGGTATCATTTCCTGCCCCCTCTAGATCCAAATGGGTTTGTAAAACATTTAAAAATAATGTGTGCCAGCTATTTCCCCACAACATAAGATCTTAATGAGTTAATGGAGACAGTATTAACCCCTACAGAACATACTAAATGGGTGGCAGGATATAACGAATCACCTTTTTCATGGCCTGCAGGGGTGGGGGGACAAGCAGTTGCACACATATGGGAAAATTGCCCTGATGAGAGGAGTGATGTTGTCCTTAAGAATTGGTATGCATTCCTCAGCATTAAAGTAAAAACAGTTTTTACCCAGCCTATTGACTATACATAGCATAGTGCAAAAGAAAGGAGAAAACCACTATGAATATGGGGAAGCAATTAAGGTTTTTGGAAGTTTTGAAGATATCACGGTTGAATCAATTAAGCCGTTCATAGTGAATACCTTAGTAAATGGTTTGGATGCTAAAGTAAAAAAAAAAAACAATTGATGTTATCCTTACTGGGATGACGGGATAAATCACTTAATATTGTATTAAGTGCAGCATCAGAAATTTGACAAGCTATTCAAATCAAGGAAAATGCAAAAGCTGAGCACATAATGCTACAAGCTGAACAAATTCCTGTTAGATATTATGCACATCAGCCAAGACAAAACATAGCCAGAAGACCCCCACAGAATAATGAAAGAACATTTATCAAATGTTTCAATTGTGATGGATATGGTCATATAGCAACAGATTGCAAGGAGGTAAAGGGGGCAAGAAAGCAATTAGAAGAAAAAGACAGACTAGATGTAGAGGAAGATTGGGGTCTGAATATGTATTGTTACCAGTGACCCAAGGTCCAGAACCTATGGTACATTTGAAAGTAAATGAATTGTATGTGATACTGAGGGAAGAAGAAGTAAGTGATTTTGGTGGGGAGAGTGTATATTTAGTGGAAGACCAGCATTGCCATCATTGTTTAATTCTGAATGGTCAAGGATGGGCCTAGAATCTGTATTGGCACTGGTGTGTTCTTCATGTGTTATTTGTTTACAATACAATGCAGGTCAGAGACCTAAATCATCCTCCCTGTTCATGAGGTCCATTTGTAAATTTACAAATGGATTTCATTGAATTACCAAAGGTAATGCAGTACCGGTATGTGCTAGTAATATTAGATACATTCTCAGGTTTGGTTGAGGCTTATCCTTGTTGCCATGCGGATATTGTCTACAGTGTCTAAGAAATTGTTACAAGAATTTATACCCAGGTATGGATTGCCTCTGCACATTTACTCAGATCAGGGAACACATTTCACAGGAAACGTAGTGCAACAGATAGCAAAAATTTAGCAAATCCCTTACCATTTACATTGCTCTCATCATCCTCAGTCAGAAGGAGCAGTAGAAAGGGCCAATGGAACATTGAAAAATAAAATTGCAAAAATTGCAGCAGAGAAAGTTAAAGTGGCTTAATGCACTTCCTCTTGCCTTAATGTCTATGAGATTCTCTCTAGTTTGAAAGCAGGGTTATCCCCTCATGAAATTCTAATTGGAAGACCAATGTTCACAGGACGGGTACCTATAAAATGTTATTCTCATGAGATAAATGATGATTTAGTAATGTCATATTGCATGTAGCTAACAAAACGATTAGTCTCTCTATATGCAGGTAAAAGCTGTACAGCGAACAAGTGAATACCAACCTTTGCATGCCATCGCTCCTGGAGATTATGTTATGATAAAAGACCATTCACGAAAGCACGCGTTGCAACCAAGGTGGAAAGGACCTTCTCAAGTGTTATTAACCACTAATTCAGCTGTTAAAGTCGCAGGGGTTAAATCTTGGATCCACATTTCCCATTGTAAACTGACAAGCGCTGAAAAAGATTTTTTCACTGGAAGAAGAATAGAGGACTAAGGAAGCCGTTTTCCCTTCTAAAAAGGGGTACTTTATAAGGGGAGTATCTTTCTAATCCAAAGTCAACTCTACTGTTTTTCTTCATGAATCTCAAACTGGTTAAACTTATATTGTCCTTAATGATTGTCATTATGACATTTTTTAAATTTTTCATCCTCTACACTACGTTAGCTCCTCTTTTTTTTTTCTTTAATACACGTGTAGCTTGGGCCAGGGAGCCAAGTATTTTTCTTCTTGGGAGATAGATAATCATTTCGTTAAAACATCTACTGAATTGTATAAATTGTCAAACAAAAGTAATCATTGTTGGGTTTGTGTGTTTGCTCCGCATTCCATGAACTATGGTTATCCTTTTGTGGGGGTGCCATGGTCTATGGAATCTCTTTATGAGAGAGTAAGAGCAAATAAAACGGGGTTTGTTGGATTTATTCAGAATGAAGTATCCAAATCTGGCGAACCTGCTAAGGTTCATTTAACATATCCCATTACTAGCAGAGCAGTAGTAATTTCTAACAGGGATCAGAAAAGTCCTGCCAAGATTGTTAAGCCTATAAGCAATGCTATTGTTATTTTTGAAAACAATGTCCTTTATAATCTATGTGGGTCTGAAACTAATTCTGCCCCTTGTACTGGTAGATTGAAAGCTTTTTGTTGGAAACCCTTATTAGAAGATATTTTGACAAAATGTCCCATCAAGGATAGAATCCCGGTGATTACTAATCATGTATGGGTAAATTTGACTTCTGAGGTAGAAATCATGGATAATAATTATGACCAGAATGAACATTTAAATGTCACTATTTTGAGATGGGCCTACTTTAATACTCAAACTTTAACTTCCAATCTTTTTATGCTACTGCCCTATATTAATCAACCTATTTTTGACTGCTCAGATTCTCGTGTTATTGATATCCATCTTCCATTTGGGGTATACTATTTATCTGGTAGTTGGGCGGTAAAAAGACTTCCATGTAATTGGGTGGAAACTTGTTATCTAGGTAATATTATCCCAGCGTTAACCCTTCATGAAAATTTGCCTGAAGGAAGGGTGAGGAATAAAAGAAAGGTTATTAGTTCCAAAAAAGATAAAACCGAAAGAACTGTAAAATCTGGTGAAGAAGATAGGCTATTTGCAGGTTTTGTACCTACATGGGGGGTTATTGAATTAATGTACAAATTAAACTTGTTAGGAGATATACTAGATGAAGCCTTTAATAATACAGGAGATGCTATTGAAAAATTGTCTGCAGAACAGGAACAAGCTTCAGCTATGATTATGCAAAATAGGTTTGCCCTAGATTATTTGTTGGCCTCCAAAGGTGGCGTTTGTGCACTGATAAAAACAAGATGTCGTTTAAAGATAGATAATGTTACTGGTCAGATTCATACAGATGTAGATAAATTGCATGAAGTACAAATTAAACTTAGAGAAGTTCACAATACTTCTTCGGGAGGTTTAAATTGGGGTTTTGACTGGAGTTTTGGTTTAACTAATTGATTGGGAATAATCGGAAAACGTATTCTCATTGGAGTTATTTTAGTAGTATTGATGCTTGTCTTTATATATGTTGCAGTGAATGTCCTAAAGTGTTCGTGCCGATTAATCCTCAAGAGCTGTTCACCTTCATCTCCCCCTGGCACAATGTCGAATGTTGAAATGTCTCCTATCCGGTCACAACTCATACCGACTTGGAATACAGACATGCTTTCTCTGAAGATATTGATCGTGTGCGCATCTATATGGAAAGTCCTGCAAGTGCTGTTTAAAATCACTAGCTCACTGAATGACCTTCGCTAAACATGGAAGTGTTGCACGGAGCTTTTTGTGGTGAAAGTCCTAGCACCAAAGGGAGGACTGTGAACATATGTAACCTGCTACTGACATGCTGTCAGCCATTTTGCTGTTTATTCATCATCTTAAAATATAATCAAAGAAGAATATTTACTCTAAGAAATAAGAAGAAACTATGTTTTATTGCTACAATTTATTAATGGATGTCTGGACTGTTTTTTGGATTGCAAAAGGAAAGGTTATTTTGAAAGTGTGTCTTGTCAGATGTTGCCAGGGGGGGAAAGGTGAAATGTGTGCTTAAGTTGTGAAAGAGGAAGTCTTATATGTGTTAACTTTTATCATAGACAAGCGATATTTTAGGGAAGTAAGATGCATGACTGTGGTCAAGTTATCTGTTAGAAAGATCATGGGATGCTTAAACTTTTGAACCTTAAATTTGTCAGTTATGCTAGAATTTAGCCAATAGGAAATAAGACCATATTTGGAGTTCTGATTCAAGCTAAACGAAAGGCCAGTTCCGGGTCATATGTATAAAATATGAGGAATTGTAACATGATGTTAGATTGCTTCTTGCCAATCTCCATGAGATATCTCTGTGTATTGTAATGGTCAATTAAACGCTTTTTATTGAACCTGGTAATATTTTTGTCTACTTCCACATTGCTGTGGAGCCCTGTTATACACTCAGACACATTACTGGGAGTATTATTGCTGTGGAGCTCTGTTATACACTCAGACACATTACTGGGAGTATTATTGCTGTGGAGCTCTGTGATACACTCAGACACATTACTGGGAGTATTATTGCTGAGGAGCTCTGTTATACACTCAGACACATTACTGGGAGCATTATTGCTGTGGAGCTCTGTTATACACTCAGACACATTACTGGGAGTATTATAGCTGTGGAGCTCTGTTATACACTCAGACACATTACTGGGAGTATTATTGCTGTGGAGCTCTGTTATACACTCAGACACATTACTGGGAGTATTATTGCTGTGGAGCTCTGTTATACACTCAGACACATTACTGGGAGTATTATTGCTGTGGAGCTCTGTTATACACTCAGACACATTACTGGGAGTATTATTGCTGTGGAGCTCTGTTATACACTCAGACACATTACTGGGAGTATTATTGCTGTGGAGCTCTGTTATACACTCAGACACATTACTGGGAGTATTATTGCTGTGGAGCTCTGTTATACACTCAGACACATTGCTGGGAGTATTATTGCTGTGGAGCTCTGTTATACACTCAGACACATTACTGGGAGTATTATAGCTGTGGAGCTCTGTTATACACTCAGACACATTACTGGGAGTATTATTGCTGTGGAGCTCTGTTTACACTCAGACACATTACTGGGAGTATTATTGCTGTGGAGCTCTGTTATACACTCAGACACATTACTGGGAGTATTATTGCTGTGGAGCTCTGTTATACACTCAGACACACTAACAATATGGAGCTCTTAGAATATAGGGACATTAGGATAGAAAAGAGGGACAGAGGCGTTTGTGTCCAAAGTAGGGACTGTCCCTCCTAAATAGGGACACTTGGGAGGTATGCCGTTAGCAGTCACCACTCCTGAGGTGTAATTACGTTACTGATTTGTTGTATTCCTGAGATATTTATATTGCAGACATGAAGACATGGAATATGACATGACAGAAACAGAGAGAGAGAGATTAAGACATGATCACATTCTCACATGACGCTATGATACCATTTAATGTATAGGTGAGCCTGTAATCACATTTCCCTTAGCGTATGTAGTCTGTTCATTGTTTTCCTTTATATATGTGCAAAAAAAAAAAATACAACCTAATTGCTCTGTCAGAGATAATTACTGGCAATTGGAAGGCTTAACATAATTAGTGCTAATCCTGTTAAGTGCTAAAATGCTGTCAAAAACAACATTGTTTAATTGGCTTTGAAATTTTTCAGAAGATAATTTTAGTTTAAGGGATTATTTAACAATTTTTCAGCAGCAATGTTTTCCAGAGCATTAGTTTTGAAAATGTAACATGTACAAAAAAGCAAAAAAATAAATAAAAATAGCCCTATTCTAAACTACTACGTACATTTAAATAACAGGATTAAAAAAAACCCTCCTGATATTTAGATGTGCATAGGGATTTGAGATTGCGTGCAGGTAACGTTTTAGCTTTTTGCTCCACCCATTGTACAGCGCTACGGAATCTGATGGCGCTATATAAATAATAAAATAATAATAATAATAATAATATGTGTTTTAGCTGATGTATACTGTTGTCTTTGCTGCCGTCCAGGAGTAGTGGGAGTTTGAGCCTAGGGCTTAATTGTGTGTTTGTATACGCAAAAAATATATATAGGCCTTCAGCAGCGGCACAAAATTAGCATCAATGCTACAGTCCTTTCGACTCTATATTATATAACTAATTTTGTATATAACAATGTAATAATGACACATCTATAGATATGTCACCAATTTTTCTTTTTTGCATACATATTCTTCGTTTTCACAGGGTGACACGAAAACAGTGTATATATTTGCATTAATATCATAAAGAGCCTGTTGAATTTAGTTTTGAAAGCATATAATCAGGACAAAAACATGTTCTTTCTGTATTCGAACAGACAGATCCATCTGTCATTCATCTTATCTTGTACACAAACCGAAGATACATACTGATGGGCAATACATGAAAGGTGCTGGCCCATAGTATACAGAATTCAAATGTTGCAGGAGGGAAATTCAGTCATTAAGCAATACGGGATCCTAGTGTTGGAATTCTACACACTGCAAGAAATGATTCTGTTTAAGAAGGTAAAGTGATATGTACCCAGAAAAGCGCAGATTTTGCAATCCTACCCTATAATGGCTTCTACATACCTCAATACTACTAGGGATGCACCGAAATGAAAATTCTGGTCCAAGACCGAAAATTCAGGATGCCCTTGGCCGAAAAACGAAACTGAAACCGAAAATAACTTTTTCCCCCAAAATGATTTCGAAATAGTTTCTTCTATAATTAAATTAATATTGGACTTTTCAATTAATTATTTTATAACAAAATAAAAAGATAACACAGTAATAATATACTTATGAGTTTAGCATAAAAGGGTATAAAGTAAGACCCATTTTATTGCAATAAGAGCACATGTCAAACCTTATGTGATGTCACACTGCAATTAAATGCAACAGGCATGTGTTATTACTGCCCTTCCACAAGTCATTAACCCCTTAAGGACCAAACTTCTGGAATAAAAGGGAATCATGACATGTCACACATGTTATGTGTCCTTAAGGGGTTAAAGGACCACTATAGTGCCAGGAAAACATACTCGTTATATAGTGCCCTGAGGGTGCCCCCACCTTTAGGGTCCCACTCCCGCCGGGCTTTGGGAGGAGGAAGGGGTTAAACTTACTTCTTTCTCCAGCGCCGGGTGGGGAGCTCTCCTCCTCTCCTCCTTCTTCCGTGAATGCGCATGCGCGGCAAGTATGCATCAAGTAGCTGTTTGAACATCGGTGTGGACTCTGATAAAACCACTTCTTCAGGCAGAGAAATCCACATCCTTATTGTTCTTACAGTAAAAAAAAAACCTTTCCTTTGCCATAGACAAAATCTTCTTTCTTCCAGTCTAAACGCATGAGCTCGTGTCCCAGGTAAAGTCCGGTTTGTGAATAGAATTCCAAATAATTGTTTGTATTGGCCTGGATATATTTGTATAATGTTATCATATCCCCTCTGAGGCGACATTTTTCTAAACTAAAGAGGTTTAAATTTGTTAACCTTTCTTCATAGCTGATATGTTCCATTCCTTTTTATTAATTGTGTAGCCCGCCTCTGCACTTTTTTTAGTGCCATAATATCCTTCTAATAGTACAAGATCAGAGAGGGACAAAACCAGGTCAAACGAGCAGCACTGAATGATGACAATCTTTCCAGATCAGCGATGTGTCTATGTTTTTTTCCCATTCAGAATGAATTCACCAAAATTAGGAGTTATGTGAATAATTATTGTACTGTTTACACATGGCGACTTGAGGCTCTAATCCTTGTGCGTAATCGCTATGAGTGACAGCGTTTTATGACAATTTTAAGAAGATCTGCACCAGTCTCATTTTCCTGTTCCCCATGTCTTTTCCCATTTAGTACAAACACAATATTTAGCAGAAACGTAATGTAATCTGAAGAACTGATTCCATATTATTTATGGTTTCTGCATGATGGGTTATATGATGGCTATTACTGTAAGAGTCTTTTCTTTCTATTGTTTTAGAGATACAATGTAATCACATTTCTACATCAACCCAAGTGTTCCATTCTTTCTCCCCTCACAATGCTACAAAGACCCCAGGAAGGAAAACACACAATAAGAGCATCCTCAGACCCTCATAATTATCTGTTCAGAAATTACACAGTTAACTGCATGTATTTCTTTTGCATGTATTACCATGACAACCTGAAGATAAAACTGTGTAAAATTAGAACGTAATGTTTGCATAATCCTGCCCCTTGCTCCTCACATTAACAATGTAAATAAAAAGCAGTTCAGGACAAGCAGTTTATGATGAGATCTGCGGGATTAACCCATAAATATCCTTAGAACATTGCAGTTGTAGTTTTGGTTCAGGTTAAATCCCTACTTACACCGTGACGGGAGTTTGGTTCAGGTGAGCTAAAAGAAGCCACAGCTTTTATCTCTCCTGCCAGCAGAGGGCAGGTGGGGAGTGGTGTCTAGCAGATGCCAGTAGGAATTCAAACTGTTACTAATTGGTTTGACTCCTTACATGAGGGGTTCACAAGTGCATTCCTGGAACCATAACAACTGCAGCATGCTACAGTGGTTATGGTGCTTGAACAATCAGTACTCCTGGGTGAGTCTATGTGAAGCTTTTTAGTTGCACTTGTTAAGTAAAAATATTACAAGCAAAGCTTTTAATTTTTTCAATATATTTTACTGATGCCCAAGTGCTGTTACATATACATATATATATATATATATATCAAGAGAAAGTCCAATCTGTTCTTTAAAAAGTAACAGCACTGAGGCATTAATCCTAGCAGCACATGAACATGCACTCAACACAAGATCAATAGAAGCTAAAATCTACCACACCAGGCAAGACCCAACGTGCAGACTATGCAAAGAGGCCTCTGAGACAGTCTAGAACATAGTGGCCGGGTGCAAGGTGTTAGCAGGGACAGCATACACAGAGAGGCACAACCAAGTTTCTGGGATTGTGTACCGAAACATATGCACAGAATATGGGCTGGATCTGTCCATATAGGAGATACATCAAAAGGTAGTTGAGAATGACCGGACTAAGATTCTGTGGGACTTTCAGATCCAGACAGAAAACCAGCTTGACTTCGTGGTGGTAGACAAGGAACGGAATACTGCAGTCGTGGTGGATGTGGCAATACCCAGTGACTATAACATCGGGAAGAAGGTACATGAGAAGGTAGAAAAATACCAAGGACTGAAAGAAGAACTAGGAAGGATGTGGACAATGAAGGCAGTAGTAGTCCCAGTTGCGAAGGATGTGGACAGTGAAGGCAGTAGTAGTCCCAGTTGCGAAGGATGTGGACAGTGAAGGGAGTAGTAGTCCCAGTTGTGATAGGAGCATGCGGGGCTGTGACTCCCAAGTTGGGGGATTGGCTTCAACAGATTCCAGGTGGGACATCTGAGATCACTGTCCAGAAGAGTGCAGTTCTAGGAACAGCTAAGATACTGCGCATAACCCTCAAACTCCCAGGCCTCTGGTAGAGGACCCGAGAATGAGGAATAAACATACCACCCAGGAGGGGTGAGAAAATTAAAATTAATTTTTATATATTTATTAAGTGTGAGTGCATTTAATGAGAAAGATGAACATTTACAATTTGTAATAGTTTATTTTATATGTTGTAAATCCCTCCTTTATAACATTGTAAAGCATTGGAGAATAAGTTGGCACTATATAAATGCCAATTATAACACTAATATTGTTGAATAAACGTGTAATAGTGACGTCACCTTGGAAGTCTCACAGGACAGAAGTACTGATTGCTGAATGTTGTCCCTTGGAACATGCGCATAATACAGCCACAGCGATGGCGCAGTGATGATTACAGTCCAAACATGCTGCCCATGTGATATCGTCACATATCGTCACAATATCGATACATTGTCAGCACCCAATATTTTATTTTCACCAGTTATACATAAAATCATTTCATAATGTGTTTTATTTCCTTTAAAAACCTTTGACATTTTTACTATAATTCCCACCGTAAACAAGCTTGAGGTGTATTTACGCCCCTGTATGCAATGTTCTAATTTGGATATTGATCCCTGCTGAAACCTAACTCATATTCTGATTCAGGGATTTTTACTGAACATGGCAATAATACCACGTGCTGTAATACATTTTCTTTAAATTATGGGTTTTATTTAAATACTCTAATACATACGCTCATTTTAAATCAACTTCCAATTCATCCATAGTTTGAGATTCCTTCATAGAAGCTACGACCCTGGTCCATATCGCGGCTTGTCTCCACCTCACACAACTTGTCCATTGACAGGTAAAAAGAAATAATGGAAGTGCACTCAACCCTTCATCCAGGAATCCAGGGTGCTCCACTGGACAGGTCCCAGTACCAGCATGGACCAAATATGAAATTGTAGAAAATAATCCAGGCACTCCAACGAATTCCAAAGTAGGCAATTTTATTAGAACCAGAAGCTACACAGCAACGTTTCAACCCCTCAGGGTCTTTATCAAGCTTTCAAAGGTAGGAAACAGAAGGGTGACTTAAACATTTTGTGTGTGTGTGTTTGTATGTGTGTGTCTTTTTGTATGTATGTATGTATGTGTCTGTCTGTGTGTCTGTATGTATGTATGTGTGCCTGTTTGTTTGTATGTATGTGTTTTTTATCAAGCTTGATAAAGACCCTGAGGGGTTGAAACGTTGCTGTGTAGCTTCTGGTTCTAAAAAAAATGCCTACTTTGGAATTCGTTGGAGTGCCTGGATTATTTTCTACAATTAACAACTTGTCCATTGACGTCACAATGGATGGAGCCATTCTTCTCATCAGATACGCCACATTGGGTCACCAGTGGTCTTCTCATCTCACAACGCAACAACTATAGCGACACTCAAAGTGGCCTTTTTGATGACACATCTATTTCCTTTATGTGTTTGCCATTTCTATTCTGCTTGACCTGATTTTAGTAGTTAATAATAGCTAAAACTATTATTTACTGAATACTCTTGTCATATTGCACTTTGATATTAAAAAACAACATCTGTTTTTAAAGCAAATGTCGCCATGCAAATACAAAAGAAATGCAAAAATAATCCTAGATTTATAGTAAGTAATAAACATGGAGCGTGGATATATAGAAGACAAATCTTAGAGAATGCAATTAGTTTAATTTTAGGATGAAGATCACGTAGGTCAGGTCGGGCATTGCGTTATTCTATATACACTGGCAGAGGAGGGAAGTGGAGACGGCTCAAGGCACTGAAGGCTTATTAAAAGTGAAATCAGTGTCTGGAAAGCTTGAAGCAGTAAAGAAATTGATACACAAGAGAGATAATGGCTGCCCCAAAGGCTATACGCATTGGGAAATCCAGGTCGTTTGGCATATCTAAACCACAAATCCAGGAAAAAAACAGGTTATATCCAAAGAGAAATTTCTATTAGTGATGTTAAAAATGTATTTTTTTTTAAAATAGTTGTGCAAACATTAAATGTCACAGACACAGGGTCTAGAGAGCATGAAAAATAGGAGAATATTAAAGATCAGATAAACTGCTTATTGCTGGCACCCTGAGAGCCGTATGTAGTACACGCAAATTGCCTGAACTTTTTATTCTCAATCTGTTTGCAGAATAGTGCAGAAGCTTTACACTGTGAAGAAAGAGCCAGACCAAGCGAAACTTGTTGTAAAGGAACACTTCAGGCACCAAAACAGCTGCATTGAAATGAAGTTGTTATGGTACCAGCAGGGCACCCGGTGCATTCTTACTTTCAGGGGTTAAACCATTTTCGCACGGGTTAACCTCAAAGTTGCCTCCAGCACCGGTCACTGCTTTCCTCCCACGGCAGCATCGAGCGTCTAAGATTTCAGTTTCAGGAAGCAGGGAGTGCTGCCTTCTCTCAGTCAGTCGGCGGCACCTCTGCCCGGCAGCACTCCACGCTTCCTGAAACTGAAATATCAGAAGCTGGATGCTGCCGTGGGGGAGAAGCAGTGACCGGTGCTGGAGGTAACTTCTGGGTTAAACCGTTCGAGAGGTAAGATTTCTCTAGGGGTACTCCTACCAGCATAAGGCACCATAACAACTTAATTTAGATGCGGAGGGGAGGCGCGAGGGAGCATTGTATTTCTAGCAATATAGTACCGCTAAAATGTAAGGTAATATGTAAGCATTTCTCTAGAACAGGGGTAGGCAACCTACGCCACTAGTGCCATGCACGGCACTCAAGGTGTCTTTGCACGGCACTCAAGGCTGCTACAGCCAAACAGGCTCTGGCCTATCAGGAGTCCCAGTGAAACTTCAGATATCTGCTAATACGAAAAGGTGGTGAAGGACAATCCTCAATTTATGCATTGCAGCACATGGAGGTAGTGATCACATATCACTTCCTCCCTGCACTTGTGAATGGGAATCCACACTGTAGTAGAGCAGCCCGCAGCTGCTATTGCAGCTCCTGTCCTTGACCGGCAGCATACACACCTCAATTTAAAAAAATAGGACCGGCACGCTACGGGACGTCACAATCCTATATCGGCACAGTGCTGCTAAAAGGTGGCCTACCCCTGCTCTAGAATTTCCAATCTCTCTATATACTCCTGGAGGAGTAAACATCCATTAAGCTGTCATTATTTATTCTATTGCGTTTACTGCTGTGCCATAAGATTTAACTGTTGTGATATAACATGTTTTCATTATTTATCTTAAATGAAATTAAAACCAAGTATCATAAAGAAACAAAATGTGACTTTTTTCCACAAGGGACCAGCAATCAGACATGCAGTGGTTATAACAAGTTCCATATGACATCCTTTATTCTTTCAAGCAGAAATGCAACTCTAAAATATTAATATAAAGAAAACCTGTATTGGCTGTAAAATGCCATTGCACATATTATCTGAACGCGAATATAGAACATTCTGCAGTTATCTGTTAAAGGGACATGCACCACTAGTCTGAATGAGACAATTGTCTAACAAGCGATGCATGTCCCTTTAACAGAGAACTGTTTTCTATAGTCAGATTCAGGTAATGTGTGCAATGGCATTTTACAGACAATATTTTTTATTTTTATTAATATTTTAGAGTTACATTTCTGCTTCAAAGAATCCGTGTTCATTTTGGCAGCAAATCTTTTTTTTTTTTAGTCGTAGTGTTTTGTCTAAAATGTCAGTAATTTTCATTAGTTTCCACCATAATCACTTCATTTTTATTTAGTTATAGTATCATTTTCGTCGATGAAATGAATTCTGCGATAGAGACAAGCGTGTTGGCATCATGGAGGAGGTATGCCCTGCTTGAGGGGCGTCATCCAGCAGGGCAAATCAGCGAAGACCGGAGGAATCACCTCTGTAAGGAGATCACGGTATGGAGCAGAAGTTATCATTTTGGGCAAATCTACTTAACAGTGTGTTTTAAAAAAAAAAAAAAAAATGCATTTAGGTAGATGTGTGTCCCTTTAAAGATTGTTATGTTTGTTTAACAATATACTCTTAAGAATCACTACTGGAAAATTTGCAAAAGTTTGATAAAAAAGCAGAGAAGAAATTTCGAGGTTTGCTGATAAGGTATCTAAAAATGTAGCTTAACGTTTGCTAGTTAGTTCTCAATGCATCACAAGTCACTATTTACTAAACAGATCTCCCATGGTAAAGTTACCAAGAATTTACTGTGAGGATGTGTCACGCTGAATGCTTGTTGCTCTTTAATTGCCTAATCTTATTAATGAT